GTTTCTCTTTGCTGTCTCTCACCATGGTCAGATAACTGGCCAGTGTATGTTGTCATTTTAGGGCCTGGCAACCTTCTAGTTTGTATTTTTTTGTGTGAGGTAGTGCTGCTTGCGTGAGTCTCTTACCCTCTCATCCTCTATCTGTTGGTGACCTGCAGGTCAAACTGGTCAATATTAGGAACGATGACATCACAGACGGTAACCCCAAGCTGACCCTGGGGCTGATCTGGACCATCATTCTTCACTTCCAGGTAGGAGCTCGACTGGCTTCTTTTTCCACTGGGCTGGCAGACGAGCCTCTGTGTTTTGTGATCAAGGGTCACTGTCGTCCTCCTTCTCCTGGTTAAGACCTGTGTCCCCTGATCTCCCCAAACCAGGCCTTCAGGAGCAGCTCTGCAGAATCCGTTCATTCAGAGTCTCTGAAGGAGCCACAGTGACACTCGGGGCCTTCAGAGTGTCGTTACTGCAGCACTATTTGAGACAACATTTAATATGTAGCTGCCTTTAATCTTGAGAGGCCTGATTTGGTAGGATGGGCTGCAGGCCTGCTGGTGGTACTGGTACTGGTACTGGTACTGGACGTGTCTGTGCTCACTCGGTCGCTCCAGAGGAGCCCCCCCTGCCCCTTGGGCATCACGGTGTGCCACACCCCTCGGAGCCTCCTTAGAACATCAGTGTGCCATCGGAGGCGGAGGGAGTCTGGGGTGATGATGGTTTAATATTCCTGGGTTGTGCGTGTCGTAGGTATCATACTTGTGTTTGTCTCCAGTTTGTGGCGTTAAACAAGGACAGAAAGCGGGGCTGCTCTGCAGTCTCAGTGCCTCTGTGGTCTGCGGGAGCTATACCCCAGTCTGCCAGTAGAGGGCACCGCACCACAGGCTGCGCCATGACAAGGTCACAGTGGGATGCGGTTGCCAGGGAGACGCAGAGCTCCGTGACTGTGCAGACTTCAGGGGACTGATGTCATCAGCATGATTCAGCAAAACAGCAGCAATGGGGGAAGACAGGAGACGAGGGGGGGTGGGAGAGGGATGGGGAGATAGAACAGGGGGAAATTAGGATGAAGACCTAGAGCAGTGTTTCATTTCTGGAGCAAAATGCGTCTTCTGCTCTTCACCTGAGACCTGCCACAGACTGTCACAAGAGCCCTTGTTTGTTCTTCATTATTGTCTATATTATAACATTGCTCACTGGCTGAATTATTTTATTGGTTGGTTGATTTCATTGCTGAATTAATTTTGTTTCGTTGATTGATTTGATTGGCTGGTTAATCATTTATTCGGTTATTGATTGTTTGGTGTCTTGACTACTGCCTAATGCGACCTATTGGTCTGTTGATTGTTGGTTTCTTTATGAGTTGGTTGAAGTCCTTATTATTGATTAGTTGATTGATTTGATTGGCATGTTAATTCATTTCTGAGTGAGTGACTGGTTGCCTGATGGCTGGCGATACCCAGCTGTGCTGCTGACAGAGCCTGGCGTCAGGCTGAGCCACGAGCTCGCAGTGTGAGCGTTCTGCACCTGCGACTGCGTGGGTTAACCTCCTGGCTCGGGGAAACAGCACCAAGAGAGGGGAGACCAAGTTAGCAGCAAGGCTCTGCTGTGAGGCGGCCCTGTCTGGTGGTTTGTTTGTTTCTGGGATAAAAATGATCAGGGCTTGGGAAGCTCGCAGATTCATGAAGACAGATAAACTGACCAGCACCCTGACAACATGTTTGAGACCTGGAGCAGACCAGACCGCTGTGCGCTGGGACTGATGGGGCTCTCTGTGTGTTTGCTCTCGTCAGTCATGACAGGTTGTTTGTCTGACCTCTGCACTCCGGCATGGCAGAGGAGTGTGAGTGTCACCAGCTGGCAGTGTGCGTGTGCGCGGGGGTCTGGCGCCGCGTGTGCATGTGCGCGGGGGTCTGGCGCCGCGTGTGGGTGTGCGCGGGGGTCTGGCGCCGCGTGTGCGTGTGCGCGGGGGTCTGGCGCCGCGTGTGCGTGGGGGTCAAATGCAGCTGAAATGCTGCAAACCTGCTGCCTGTGTACGACTGCGCGGCAGATTAATGGAGCTGAACACGCGCACACACGCTGGGCCGGCGCGATAATGGGGGCTTGGGCTTTGTTTGGGAATCCCTGCCTCTGCCTCTTTAAGATAGCCTCCTTCTCTTCTCTCCTCTCTCTCTTAGCATCCCTTCATCTCTTCTCTCCTTCCCTCCCTCTCCCTGAACTCACTGTCCATTAATCCCCCCTCCCCCCGGTGCCTTTTGAGAGAGAGAGAGACCGAGGCAGCGAGAGAGTAAAACGCAGCTTTTTTCATCAGAAGCTGACAGCCAGCCAATCGCGTCTCGGAGCGCTTCTGGGTCACGCGCGTGTGGCTGGGGAGGGCTGGAGAGCGACGCGGGGGGGCGGGGGGAGGAGGAGAGAGAAAGAGAGAGAGAGACGCAGCCGTGCTGTCAGAGCCGTCTCCAGAACTGCAGCCAGCTGGAGACGGAGCTCTGATTTCCCAGCCCTGCGCTGTCTGCACCGCTCCGCTACCTGACTGCCGGCGGCGTGGGCCAGACCCGCCGCTCCAGGGATCGCACGGGCGCGGCAGAGGACCGGGCGGCCGCCGCGGGAATGCACCAGGGGCCTGGGATTACCAGCGCCCGATTTTTCCAGCGACTGCTGCAGCCGGCGCGGACGGGAGTCTGGATGAGCTGGCGGCCGGGTCTGGAGAAAGCCAGCGGCAGCGAGCAGGCGGCTGTCCTGGGGTGACTCTGCTCCGGAGAAGAACATCTGCAGCAGCAGCCGCCGGAGCAGCACGGATTACAGACGCCGGCCTGCAGAGGGGAGGGAGCTGCCGCTGAGCTGGGCAGGGCAGGGAACCCCGGCACTCAGCTGCGTGGGTGAACGGGATCAATTTTGGGAAGGGGAGATTCCAGAATTCCCAGGGAGCCCGAGGGTTGTTTAGCCCGGCGCTAATTGACACTCCAACCACTGTTGAACAGCCTGGGGGGCGTCGAGTCTCCACGGTCGTGCTCATAGCAACAGTGTGACACAACGCCGCAATGAGTGAGGGGTGCACCTGCACCGGGGCTCTGTCCAGACCAGGAGAGCCAGCGTTGAGCAGCGTCGCTCATACAGCTCGCTAGGAGGGAGCCTGATCGGACAACCAGCAGGCGATCTGCGGGGGCCAGGGGGGCCGACAGCAGCAGCGCTGACAGCCGGCCGCCGAGGAAGACAAGGAGGATGAGGAGTATTGATCAGAGCGAGCCCTGGCGCCTGTAACTGACTCTCGGAGAGCGAGGAGGGACTTGGGGACAGAGGGATTGCGCATTTCAGGCCGGCAGAGCCCTGGGCTGCAGAGCTCGTGTGGCTTCAGCTTCACAGGATCAAGCAGAGTCGACACAACATTTGCAAAGAGCTGGAATTTCTCTTGGAAGTTTCGTCTGTGCCGCCTACTTCAGGTTAATACAGGCCGTCTGCTCCTCTCAGGAACCTGCTGGCTCAACAGGGAGCTGTCCTGGATCATGCGCCGTGTGGGGGGATTCTCTGAGCTGGGATCCTGTCTGGGTCTGTGAAGAGCTGGGAGTGAGGGGGCTGAAGCCAGCGGGAATCCCAGCTGGAGCGCGAGGGGATCCGCACGGCCGCGGCACGCTGACTGCGGACAGAGCGAGTGGGCGATCTCCCGCTCTCTGGCTGTGGCCAGGCTGTGCAGCGGGGCTCCTGCACATCGCAGGCCGCAGGGAGCTGCTGAAGATCAGTGTTACCCCAAACTACAGACTTCATCGTTTCTCTTCTTCCTGTCTGCCCCCTGTCCTTCTCTCTGAGCCCACTTGTCTGCCCTCTCTCCCTCTCTCTTGCCCCACCTGTCTGCCCTCTCTCCCTCTCTCTGAGCCCACCTGTCTGCCCCCTGTCCTTCTCTCTGAGCCCACCTGTCTGCCCCCTGTCCTTCTCTCTTGCCCCACCTGTCTGCCCTCTGTCCCTCTCTCTTGCCCCACCTGTCTGCCCTCTCTCCCTCTCTCTTCCAATGGGCAGCTCTCTAGGCTGCGTGAAACAGCAGAGGGAGGTGGGGGCCGGAGTTGCCCACCCACTGTCCCCAAAAAAGAGGCTCCGGTTCAAACGCAAGCGCAGAGCCAGGAAATCCCAGCAGAGGGAGCAGGACGAGGGGGGGGCGGGGGCTGTTGAAGATGAGGAGGAGAGGAAGCGAGCCGAACGTGAGAGAGGACTGGTGGCCAAGAGTACAGACGACAGAAACAAGCGCACCAAACCTGAAGACACGGAGGACAGCGAGACCGTGACGGAGACCGAGAGCTCATTAGCCAAGAAACGGAAACAGCACTTTGAACCCTCGTCTGTGGGGGCTGAGCACCCCCTGGAAGAGGGGGCGCACGAGAGAGAGCCGGAGGAAGCACCAGAGGAGAGGGTGCTGGTTCTGTCGCCTGAGCCGAGCCCAGCCTGGAGGGCAGTCTTCTATGAGCCCCCGAGTGGCAGCACCATCGCTGAGAGCAGAGGCATGGGCAACAGCGAGGGCAGCAGCAGCCCTGGCGGCGGGAAGGTGTACCGCGTGCGGGAGAGAGTGCAGGGGGTGGTGGAGAGGCCCTGGCTGGTCCAGTCCGAGCACGAGGACTTGGGAGATGAGGATGATGACGATTACGAGGATGAAGAGGATGACTCGGTTTCGTCTGATACTGAAAGCAGGAGCGTGGTCCGAATTCGTGAGGTTGCGGGAAGGCTGTGTGTGGTCAGGACTGTGTACCCCAGTTTCGGAGTCTCATTTTGGGCTGCAGGGGCAACAGACTCGGTGGAGGTGATTCACCACACCCCTGTGCTGTCCAGAGAGGCCGGCGACATCCAGAGAGTGCAGTTGTGCGAGGAGGGAGCAGGGAGCCCCAAAATTAGCAGCAAAGAAGGACGGGAGACCCCAGGATCTGAGCTGGGCCAGAGAAAGCTGGGAGATAGAGTCGGCCAAGCGGACGTTTCGTGGTTGCCCCTGAAACCCAGTCTTGGGGACCCTATGGTGGTTTGGGAAGGGGTGGCAGGCCCTGTAGCAGAAGACCTCAGCCCGACACCAGATGCTTCCGCATCAGCTTTGGGGTATCCCTTTGCCTCACTTCCCCACTCTTCTGGGTATGCCAGCGACCTGCCCCTGACTTCTCCAGAACTGGGCACCCTTCAGACAGACTGGGGGCTCACCAGTAGCTCCTCCGAAATCTTAGACTCCTCAGTTCTGGGGAGCCCCCTGTCGCCCCTGGGAGACACCCCTGGAGAGAGCGTGGACCCCAGCCATCAGCCCACACAGGTCAGGATCGACACAAACGCAGAGCTCCAGTCCTGTGCCGCTGACCCCCGTCTATGTGACCGGTATGGGCACGGCACCCCCCCAGCCTCTGCAGGACAGGGCGTGTGTCCAGTGTCCAGCAGAGCAGTATCTGCCACAGCTCTGTACTGCCTTGAAGCCTTCAGAATAAATAGAGTTTATTTCAGCAGAGACTAAACATCTACACTTAAAACTTGTGTAAATGTTGAATGTATTTAAATGCAGTTTTCAGATGCATTTCAAATACGTTTTTGCAGTATGATAAGTTTATATATCTGCAAGAGTGTGTACACCAGTGCGTGTGTGTGCAGTTGTGTCCTTGTGCACAACAGTCTGCGTGTGTGTGCAGCAGTGTGCCTTTGTGTGTGGCTTCAGTGCAGTCTGTCAGTGTCGTGCTGTTTCCTGTGTGTCTCCCAGGGGCTGCAGGGACGTTCCTCCTCCCATTCCTTTCCTGCCCTCCTCCATATCTCTGTCAGCTCTCTTCCTCCCGAATCCCCTATCACTGCCACCCTTCCTCCCTCCGTTTCTGTAAGGCTCCAAGCGTGATACACACAGAATGAAGCCCTTGAGTGACAGGAACAGACAGTTTTACAGTCTGAAGCTGAGGCTCTGAACGACGGATGCCATGTTGTTCAGGCTCAGGGTGGTGGTGAGTGTGTGTCTGTTAATGATTGTGTGCTCGTGTGTTGTGAACACAGCCGCACTGCTGTCCCAGAAGCCCGCAGGGCGGTACAGCCGCGAACACGAGAGCGGGGACAGTCCCAGCAGAACCACGGGCCCAAGTGAAGGGCCCTTTCTAGGGGGTGTCAGAGTGCAGCCCTGCCCCCAGGTTACCCCTCTCATCCCTGGATACTGGGGGGAGGGGCTGTTTCCAGGGATTTAATTGCCCTATTATAGAACAAGCTGTTAAGTAGCTAATAACAGAGTTTAACCCCTGGGGGCTGTGCCCAGCGAGCGCCGGCTCCGGCCGATACAGACGCCTCTTCGGTAGAGACGCTTTCGTGCGCGGCGGACCTGAAGCTTGAGACCGAACGGATCGGCATCGCTGTCTCGTCAGCCCTGGGCTGGAAGTGTCTGGGCTCCTCTGAGCACCTGCCGGACGCGCCTGTGGGTATCAGCCCCTCCGGGCTGCTGCACCAGAGAGCTGGGAACTTCCAGACTGCACACACATGGTGCAGCGGTCAGTGCCCAGAGGAGATGTGCTGGGAGTGGTGGAGGTAGTGCATGGTTTCCAGCTGTGGCTGATGGGAAAGAAAAGTAGGGTAAGAGGTCAGATTAGAGTTGTGTGCGTGCAGTAGTGTGTGTATGTTTGTGTGCTGTACTGTGTATCAGTGTGTATCTGAGTGTGTGTGTG